TTCCTAGATATGTCTTCCCGTCTCCAGTTATCACGCAATCCTTAAAAACAAATCCATTTGTCTCGGAATGCGATGTTCGTCCTTGAGCTGTGATGAATCCTGGACCGTCTAAAACTCCCGCAACTACTGCTATGGTACATCCCTGCAGTCCAATATCTACTATTATGAAATAGAGTTAAGAAAAAATAAATTTTTGGTAAGTGTTTTTCCCTCCAAAACATTTCGAAAATGTAAGTGATTTTTTTAATTTTTTTCGTTTTTCCCGCCTAAATGAATTATTCGATTTTGTAATAGATTTATGGAAATTGGATTCAGATTATTTTTCCTTTTTTTCGCCTATTCTTACTCCCTTTGTTTAGGTTTATATTTGTTACCATTTTTTAACATCCGATTTTTTATTTGACACGTTTTATTTATCTTGCTTTTTGTTTTTTATCTATTACTATAAAATAGAGTTAAGAAAAATACAATTTCGGTAAACTTTTTCCCGCTCAATTATTTCAAAAATTACCTATTGTGGAAACTTTTTTTGAATTTATTTCACAAATCCCGCCTAAAGTTTTTGATTTGATTTTGAATAGGAAAAAATAAAATTCATATTATTATTACACACCTTTTTTAGCACCTTTTTTTTTAATGAATAGATTTGGTTAATTTCCCCATATTTTAACTCTTTCCTTTTATGAAGAGATTTGGTTAATCTTTTTTGTGCAATTCGTTTTTTACTATTTGACAAATTAATATTTGATATGTTTTGAAAAGATTCCTTTATTAAATAAACAATTTTATATATTTTAACTTCCTATTTTTTAGGTTAGAATTTGGTATAGATTTATTGGTTAAATCCGATTTTTAGAATAAGCCTAAATAAATATATTTCTTTTTTTTAGGATGTGATTAAGGAAACAATTCCATAGAAATATAGATTCTTTAAAATATGATATATTATCTTCTACATAACCGATTTCTTTTGGATACATTTGAAGATAATTTCCATTGTTTTAAAAAGATAATGTAGGATATGTTTTGAAAAAAATTCCTTTATTAAAGAAACAATTTCATAACATATTCGATTTTAATATTTTGTATGCAAATAATTATTTTAAAATTTTGCTTATTTAAAACAATTCAAATTAATATTGGATATTATAGATCACATATATTATTTGCTTACTATATATTTAAAATCTAAAATATGTTGGATTGGGTTTAAGGTGATAAGCACGACCTTTTTTGTTGTGGGAAATCAAACAAAAAGTATACTATTTTAGGCATAAAATCTGATTTCATTTGATAAGCTCGATCAAATTTGATTATGACTGAATCAAACAATTTTGAACAATATTAAATTAATCGATTACTATTGAATTAATTTTTTTTTATTTTCACGTCGAAAATTTTCTAAAATACTATTTTTCTGTGGAAAATATCGGTTGGATGAAAAGGTCAAATTCAAATTAAAAAAAAAAAATGTTATTTTGAAAAATATATTTTGTAAACCTTAAGTCATAAAAATATGGTCAATGATATCTTAAAATACAACGGGTAAATATGGTCAATAATATCATAAATTATTTTTTATATTCGGGTAGTTCAACTTAATTGATGATTTTTTTTTCCCAAAAAGTATGATGATCATTTAATTAATTTTACCCTATATCTAATGTTTGATGTTATTAGTAATAAATAATATATAATTTTTCATATTTGGTATTTCTTTTCTTACAATAATGAGATGTTAAACATAAATAATTATGTTTAATATAAAGTCTTAGAAAATGTTTTAAGTAAAAAGCTCGTCCGTGCATCGCACGGGATACACACTAGTTTGATTTATATGTTTATATCGCTCAAAATAGTTGTCATATTAAATATTGTTTATAATTATGTATAATGAAAACTTAACATATTCAAATATTATCAATAAATAACACTCACATAATACTTCTCACTGTCTATATTCTACTCATACCTTGTTACAATACATTTTTTTTATTCCTAAATAAGTTGGTCTAAAATTTAAAAACTGTGGCAAATATTATACGGTTAATTGAAAAAATTGTAATATGTATTCTTTTGAAGTAAAAAAAAAAATGTTAATTTTTTTAAGTAAATCAATATTATTTTATTTTTCTTGTAATTTATAATATTACAAATATTTTAATTTTTATTTCTAATCTATCAATTTAAATCAGATTGTTATGATATTGTCAAGCGCAATATGATTTTTTATTTTTTAAAGTTATGTTTGGTGCAGTTATAATGATATGAGGATATTTTTTAACTCCTTGAATAGATAATGTTTGGTGTATATGAAATGAATAGAGAATCGTAGGGATTTTGTGATTAATGTTGAGATATCAATTCTATTATAGTATTGTGGTAATTATATTAATAAGATTTTTGCAATTGATTTCTAAATTTATTTTGTACTTATATTTTGCAATATTCTCAGCATATTTTGGTCTATAAATGGTAGAATACCTAACAAAAAAGGAGAACATATGATTTGTTATTAAGAATAAAGACTGATTTAATATTAAATATAAATAATTAATTTGATTTTGATATTTTAGAAAATTGGGTTTATAATTTTTGAAAAACTGAAAATGTTGAGTTTTTTATAAATTAAATAATTCTAAACCAATCCTCGATTAAATGATTTTTTTTGAAGATACAATAAAAAATATTTTGGTATATTGTTGGTTACAAAATGAATAAAAAATCACCATGATTTGTTATTGAATTTGATAAATAAGATTCTATTCCAACATAAAATTTTCATAATTGATTTTTCATTTTTATTTTGTAATTATATTTGCTATTTTATCGTGTATATTTAAATAGTATTTCTAGAAACAAAATATATTTAATAAATATGTTTTTGAAGACATATTTTATCTCGGGTACCAAAAAGATAACAAATTGTAATAATTCGTAATTAATATGAAGAATCGAATTTTTATTACGATAATACCGCAAAATAATTTTTATGATTCAACTTTATTCATATAGAAAGTAGTACTATTAATCAGATTGCACGATTTACAACAAGAATGTATAATTTATTTTAATTTTTTTAATAAATATTAGAGTAATTTTTACTATAGATTTTCAATCAGAGTGGGCAAGAGAGTTTGAAATTATTGCATCAAAGTCAAAATTACTATTTTAAATTATAAACATATAAATATTCAAGGGGGTGTCTATATGTACACCCCCTTGTGTGTAAAAAAGGGGTGTACATATAGCATTGCCCTTTGTGTAATTTATTAAAAAGGGGTGTACATATAGCATTGCCCATATTCAATTATAGTGGGCAAGAGAGTATGATTATGCGCATCATCATATATATCTATTTCAGTTTTGCTATGAAACCAACAGTTGACTTTATAGTGAAGTCAATCTTCTATATATAACAAGTAAACTATACCATATTAATAAAATTATTAATATTTATCTATCGGTTTTGCTATGAAGCCAACAGTTGGCTCCATAGTGGAACTAACATTCTATATACAACAAATAAATCTATCATATTAATAAAATTATATTAGTATTATTTAAGTAATCAGAGAATATGGTAGATTTATCTATATCTATATATATAAAGAGAAAACCTATTTACCGAAAATAGCAATAAAAAAAGTCAACAGTCATTATTGCATTCTTTTTTTGGTAGTTTATTTTTTAAAAAAATTATTCCTAAAAAATCAATCAGCTATACATGCATCCTAAATTCATGTGTTTTGTGGGTTTACTTTAGGTAAACTTCAATTGATGCTTACAATTTTGCAAAAGTCAAATTCTTTCTCATTTTTTATTTTAAAAAAATTGATACCATAAAATCGAGAATTTTGAATTAGACTAAATACTATCACATATATCTTTTACTAATTGCAACAGATTAATTGTTTATTCATATTGCATAGAAATCGGGTTAAATTATGTACAATTCGTCATGACAATTTTGTAAAAGTAAAAATTCTCTCATTATTTATTAAAAAAATTGTTTACCACAAAATCGAGAATTTCGAATTAGGCAAAATACTATAACATGTATGTTTACCTAATTGCAACAGATCATGTTTATTAAAAAATATCGAATTGTATAGAAATCGGGCCCAATTTCAAATTGAGAATTAAAATTTTAAAAACTCATTTGACTATTAGTTTCTTTAGTTCGATTTATTTTAAACATAAAATAGAATTAGATAATATTAATTTGCAATTCAAAATGAAATCGGATTGGAAAATTAAAAATATTGGTTTTGTTTAATCCTCTAAAATACAAATTTAAAATTGATTGCATACACTTACAAAATAAATAGTGATTGCATACACTTACAAAAATCATATATATCCTGTAAATAAATAATTGATTTATTTAAGCATATCTCTAATCCTAATATAATTTGTGGTGATAGACGATGTACCAAAAGACCAAACAAATAATGTTGTATACAATGATGTGTTTAATAATATATAAATTACATTTTGTTTATTCCAATATATGTGTTTTGACGTTCTTCCAATTATCCAATCATCCAAATATGTTTACCTAAATAAAACTAGCTCGTGCATCGCACGGCTACCGCACTAGTTTAAGTAATCAGAAAATATAGTATGCTTTATTTGTTATATATAGAAGTTTGACTCCACTATGAGACCAACTGTTGACTTTGTAACAAAACTGATATCTATTTTGTTGGGGCGGACAGGTTTTTTATAAGTTAGAAATATATGAAATTAAGTTTACACATTTCAATATTCCCTTTTTTCGAATCTTGTATTTGAGGCAACTATAAGCGGATATGGAGAATTGTAGGCCCTAAAAATAGGCAAAACAAAATCAACACAATTAAACTACCCAACACTAATCAATCAAACGGCAATTAAAATGAGATAATTGACATACTATATACTATTAATTATATTAATAATAAAATTAAAGAAAAAAAGATAATAATTAAATAGCGTACCTGATAAATAGATTGGCCGGAACCAAAGATGAAATCAATACCTCCTTGGATTGTGCACTGCTCGAAATAATGCCGGCCTTGAACGTCCCACAGCGTGTCTTGCAGCCCCACAAATCCACACCGGTAGAAGGCCGACTTGTCTCCGCCTATCCTGGCCGCCACCGCCACCGCCAGTGGGTTTCTCGACCCCTTCAGCGGGTAGTTATATGAATTCTGTAAAATAAATAAATAAAACATATGATTTTGATGGTACTGTAACATTAGTTAATTGTTTTGGTGTTCGTCTCACAATGAATGTCATGCTCCTGGCTATGATGTTGTCCGGCACAGAATTAAAAGTGGCGCTCGTGTCGGTTGCATCGTGCGCGTCCCACACCACACTCGTCTTCCGCTTCCCCGCTCCTTGGAGGTATATGAATGGCTTGTTATACGGGATCAAAACTTGTTCTCTACAATATTTAACAACAACAACAACAAAAAAAAAATGATGATGAGCTAGGAATGCACATGTATACGTAATGAAACAATAATAATGAGAAATCCTTTTATGTACAATTTTTCTAAATCGATATCAATTTTTTTTGTTTTTTTTTTCTCCTCACCTATAGACGCCTTCTTTGATGCGAATGCAAACCCAATTCTGGTTGTACTCGGGCACCTTGTCGATAGCTGCTTGAATAGTAGTGGTGTTGCCTCCTCCGGACGGATCCACGGAGATTGTGAGGCAAGCCATTTTGATTCTCAAAAGCTTTCCGGGAAGTATCGCATTTCCAACCGGAAATATTACAAAAAATAAAGTTACCACAATACTGATAAACCGTCGAAAATACATTTTTTTTTTTTCGACGATTTATTAAACAAAAATGATATGAATTAATGGTGCAAAAAAGTGAGGTTTAGAGCACTGTATATATAAGAGTAATGGAGAGTGTTGCAGGCATAGATAGCTTTAATTGGTTTATTTACAAGATTAAGTGAATGAATTGTTGGGAGGAAGCAAAAGGAATGGGGGCTGCAAATAAGAGTGATGTACACAATCTTTTGAATCGGTTTTGCTATGGAACTAACAGTTGGCTCCATAGTGGAGCCAACCTTCTATATACGACAAATAAACCTACCATATTATTTGATTACTTAAATAACATTAACATAATTCTATTGATACGGTAAGTTTATTTGTTTTATATAGAAGGTTGGCTTCACTGTGGAGCCAACTGTTGGTTTCAAGCAAAACTTGAATTGAGTGCTATCTCATTTAGTGTGTAATTTTGTAATTGATTGTGTATGGGGCTGATTAGGGGAAGTCAAAGGTGAAAAGAGAGTGGGAATAGGTGATATCACAAATCATGCACCTGATTCTTAGAATCGTGTTTTAATGATTCTAACGTGTGCTCACAATTTCTATCCCTCTTCAACGCCATATTCTCGTCATCTTCGTGCTAATTGAG